TTGAGGCTCTCTGAAAATAACACAGCTCTTTGGAATTAACCGAATACAATTTAATCATAGTTGAGGTGCATGTATTTACATACATGCCCATTTGGGCTTACACACAAAGTCATCGAAGATTAATTCACAAGTCCAACAATGGTTCGTTGGCAGTGATCAGCTCCCTTTCATTCAGTCAGTGGTGAACTTTACCAGGAGCAGTCCTGGCTGCCATTCAATCCTGGTCCTGATCCAGAGTTTATTTCTTTCATCTTTGTCTTATGTTGATTCTCTCTTGCACCCCATTCAGTTTAATACCAGTTTCCCACATAAGCCTGTTAGAGATGTAATATTAATTACCCAGAAATCTCAGTCTGCAATTGCTTTAACATCATTCTTTAATAAATACAGACTTCATTGCATGTATTTCTATTACTTTAGCTACTTTTATTTCTATTTTTATTGCACAGATCTGTGCAAATAAAAATATATCAAAAAGTATGGCTATAAATGTGCTCTGCTAAATTCCTTCTGCCTTGACATGCCTGTGAACTGCTGCTACAAAATGCCTGCTGCATTTTAATGTCTTTCTTAAAAGGCAACATGATATGGTAGAAATAACACTGGCTTTGGATTCACACAACTCCTGGTCCACCATTCAACAATTGTGCTACTTAACTTCTCTGAGCTTTGGTGTACTTGTCTGAAATGTCAGTAACAATGTCATCCTACAAATTTGACTGAGGAGTAAATTAGATGAAGTATGTAAAGCATAAGTATTATACTTAGGACATTAGAGGAACTTAATAAATATTAGTTTCTTTTCTCCACCCTGCAGCAGTAATGGGAGGAGACTATAACACTCATTTAAAAATGTGCTTGTTGAGTTAATTATGAAGTAAGAAGAATAAGGCTAAATTTCAAAGGAGCAGATAATTCCATACTGTGATATTTATTGCATGTGGGCGTGTATTACCATAGGTGGCTATGAAGAAAAAGACATGGTTTCTGAACTTCATTATAACTTTAAACTCTGTCCAGCTCTAAAGTATTATAAGAAGAGCCTGTTTTACTACACATCTGCCTTTAAAGGCATAGGCAGTATATATTTACAAGATATCACTATAATATAAATCTGTTTTTGTTATACTGTTTAAATTCATTTAACATAACATTTTAGCACATTTAAAGTATAGGAGTGGCATTGATCACCTACATAGGGATACAGCTGTAGTAGAAACTTTTTTTTGAATAAGAATGGCTAACTTCCTGCAATAAACAATTAATACAGAAAGCCTAATTTTCTTACTAGCAACTTGGAGATGTGGTTATTGATGCTTTACCTGATTTTATATGGTTGTAAGAGTATTTGAGTTACATCATAATTTGAAGTTATTAGGCAAAAGATTCCTTAGAATCATTGCTGCTAAATTTCATAAGGCCAAGAAAATAGAACAGATAGCATGTAAGAGAGGAATGAAAACGGGAGTCCTCAGTAAGTCTTTAAGGACTAGACGTAAGTTTTACTCTGGTCCAGTATGTTGCTAAGGGACCTGGTCTCGAAGATATAAATAAGATGAAGGAGGAGACGTAGGCTGGAAGGCAGTACCTAATGGTGGAAATACTCGTCTTTGAAGTCAAACAGACTTTATTCATCGCCTAGTAGCCATGAGTGTCAAATTCCTCCTCTCTATGGAACAGAACAATAAAATCTATCTTTCAATATTCACTTGATGTTTTGGGATATTTGCAGTACCTGCTACACAAAAATAAAAATAAATTCAAATGTCAGCTCCTGGGGATTGGTAGTGGATTTCTAAAGTTCTCAGTTGAGAAGGATTCTGAGGTTATATCTAGTCTCAGTGGGAAAGAATGCTGGAATTGATTAGTGATGTCTGCTCTGGGCAGAAAGTGGAGTAAATAAAAGTCTATATCAATAGTATCAATATATTTACTATGTAAGTTTCTATAAATTATAACTATTATGGTTATTGCTGATATTGTGACAAAGTTTTTGTTTTTTTTTTTTTTTAATATTACTCTTCAAATTGCTACATCCTCAACACAAAATGGAATCAATGAACTGCTTTGGTGATGACGGCTGTGTATATCATTTTTATTGATGTGATGGAGAACTTGTGTATATTATCTTCAGAGAAGAGCTTAAAAATGAAATCAGAATTTGCTATTCCTAATTTTATTCTGTAAAACACCTACTTGGATAAAAAATTGATATAGATTTTAAAAGTAGAGTGGAGACTGGACAGAAAAAAAAAGAGAGATAATGTTGAAATATAGTCCCAGATTATCATGACAGGTTTGTACAGTGTCCCATATCTTTTTTAAAAATAGTCACACAAGGGAGAAGATATAACATGTTTTGCACTTAGATGGTCCTTGACTTTCCCGACTTTTTCCCTGTTTTTTTTTTTACTCTTAGGCCAGATTTCTTTTCTGGGTAAATAGTCATGTTTCCTGTCAGCCATAGGAGATTTTCTGAATCCTAAACAGCTGATTTTGTATTCTCGCCCCATTCCCTCTATCTGAGAACTGAAATCTGATCAAACCCATATTTTTAAATTTATGTGTTTATAGGCCTATGGAAGACTAGTTTACAGTCTGAGTCTGAATTTTTTTTTTAAATTTCACCACAAATGTAGTAAAATGGTAGGAGTTTTTAAAACAGTGCCTTATCAGTTTCTTTTTTCTTTTTCTTTTTTTCTTTTATTACTGATGACTTCATTCTGCTTGAATTCAATGCTTCAGTTTCTTTGGGTAAACTAATAGATTATGTATGTGATGTTTGCACTGTGTTGATTGAACTCATCTGGTGAGTTTGAGCACTGCTCATGCATTCACGTAATCGGCAGAAGCGTGCACGTTGGATTCACGCAGCATAGACAGGTCATAATGCTCAAGAGCGAGGGAAGCTGTTCAAAATAGAGCTGTGATGATTTCCTCCTTTCCCATTGTTCAGGAAAGCGTTATCAGGCCTTCAAGTTTTATCTTATTGTTATTTTTTTCAACTGCTCAAGGAAAACTTTAGCTTTTTAAAAAAATGCATAGAAAAGAAACAGAATTAGAACTATTTTGAGAGTTTTAAAATACATTTTGAGGAAAAATAAAGGTATGTGATCTGTGAGAGTTTGTCTTAAATGCATCAACTACTTGATGTCTGTAGAGGACATAGGCAGCCCCAAACCCTATACTAACTTTTTAGGAAGGTTGTTAGACATCAACGCTTGGGCCTGCTTTCAATCAACTTACAATCCAGTTTGGGAAGAATGCTTTTCCTTCAAAACATGTTTACTCACCATTTTCTTTTTATGGTTTATAAGTATAATTTTTAAATGTTTTAACAAAATAGTAGATGACCTATTTCTATTGCTTTCAGAAATCTAATTTTATCAGATAGCCCATTTAAACTTAAAACTCTACTGTTTTGGGGAAACTTTTGGGGCATGTAAACCTCTTCATACTGGGGCCCCTGCCTGCTTTTCACAGTCACACCTATCTCTCTGCTCTGCTCCCTCCCGTGTACTAGAGCAGTGATTCTCACATACCCTTGAACATGATAATCATTATAGTTAATAAGTTGCTACAAATTGAGTTAAAGTACCAAAATTTGCAAATGATATGCTTTTTGTCATTTATCAGAGTAAATTCAAAATATCCCTGAAGTCACCAGCACTCACTTTTATTCTAAATTTTATTTCCTGTGTGAGAGAGGGAAGAGAGTATATATCACCTGATATCTGTGTAAGGCAGGACAAAAGAGGTTGAGGACCACTGCTTGCCCAAAATGACTTATTTGCCTTCCCCCTAAGAAAGATGCTTTCTCATTTCTGTTCTTTGCATTTGCCTCTCTCTCTACCTGGAATTCCTTCATCTCACTTGTCCAGCTATTGAGTCCCTGTGCATCCTTCGAGATTTAGCTAAAGTGTCACCTCCTCTACGGAGGCATCTGTGATCTTCTTCCATGGCCCTTCTCTCACTTCGTCAAAGTTTAAACAGTCTCTGTTTTCCACACCACTTGTGCAGGCCTCTGTTATAGCCACTGTCACAATGGATTATAGTCTTCTGTATCACTTTCAGTCCTCTACCTCCTAGACTATGTGCTTTTGGCAGACAAGGACTGTGAACTGTTCATTCTTACTTTCCCAGATCTTAACATAAGGTTTGACACAATAGGGTACTAAGTTATGCCTGAGATGAACCAAAGACATTGAACAACTGTTGAGATCTGCCTATCACATCCTCTTGTTTCCCAGCCCTGAATCGTGTCACATAGTGTTGGTTCTGTTGAAACGATCGGGACAAATACAAGCTAAAAGGGAGCCACTGGCTGACCAGTTTGGGGTTGGGTGGATGAGTAATGCCTGGAGAAGCTGTAATGCCTGAGAAGAAGAAGTGTCTAAAGTGAGAGAGGAAAACTTTAGACAAGTAACCAAGGTGGCACCTTCTACTATCACCAGCTTTTTTTTTTCTTTCTACTTCTTGGCATGGCTTCCACCTTTTCTTCTGTCTCTATGCCTAGGCTGTTCCCATATATTGATAGGTACCTCACCCCCTACTCCAAAAATTTGTGAGTCTCCTTAAAAATGAGCACTGGCACATGCCAACTCTGTGTCACATCCAACCTTCAGGTCAAATAACTGGTCTCAAATAAGCAACAGTTATTTGGGAAAATGAGATGCCGACATTAAAATGTAACCAAACTTTGTGGGTATGATTAAAAGTGTGATGGCTCCTTTAATTGCTCTAAAAGTCAGGACCTTATCTTACCTTCTTACGCAAAAGGCGTTTATTAATCCCAAACCAGATGTTCTGACCCTTGGAGCTAACGGCATGCATTAAGGACTGTTTTTGTTCATTTTTATTATTATTACACAGTTTTCCTAATATATTTGAATAATATTATTGAATCCTCCAAATGTAGACATCAGCTCCTTTAATAAGATTAAAAGGTGCATTTCCAGGATGACATACACTGTGTGACTGTGTTTGTTTATGTCCTGTAGTGGCCGTCCCATGAGTGGAAGTGCTGACCGCATTCAGAGGTTGCGGAAGGAGTATTATCAGGCTCGGAGGGAAGGTTTTGCATTATATGAGGACGACGAAGGAAGAGCAAGGCCATCTGATTATGACCTGCACTGGGTAAGTCCATGCCTGATTCCAATTTACTGAGATAGTTTAGAGCAGAAGAACATGAACAAGAATGTTCTATACATATCAAGTTGTATTTAGATCACTTGGGTTTTATAGGTATATGAACATTACCCCAACCACAGCCATCTTCTCCCACAGAAGTTGTTTACATAAATCGAACCACACTAATGCACAGTAGTTTATTTTAATTGCTCTCATATTTACTCCCTGTTGCACTTGTACACCATCTTGGGGTGGAGCAGATGTTTGCTATTTTAAAGAAGACAAGGAATCTTTGTCATTCTGTACTGAGCCTTAGTCCTTGCCCTCCATCGCTCGGTCTCAGCCATCTGGGCAGTCATTAATAGAACATACAATATAAGTCATCTTGCCTTTGGAAAATGGTTATTAGAAGTAAATTTCAGAAGGATTATCTTCAGAGATATCAGCTGTTTGTATATTGCATTTGAACAATTCCCATTTTGCTGGTCTTACTAGTATACTAATATAATTTTATTTTGAGATAAGAACAGATTTTGTATTAGAGGGTTCCCTTTGCCAAATCCTTTAACATGTGAGAACAGAAATGAATATTGTCACCTCTAAAGAAATAATCTTTGGTTTTTTTCATGATAGCATGATTCATTCTCCTATCTTTTTCAAGAAGGCAAGGCTGTACTTACAAAGTACACTTGACTCTTGAGCATCTACAAAAATGCCCCAGAAGAGGGTGCTTAGAGTTTGATTAAAAGTACATTTCACATACTTAGAATAGTGCCTGAAACTGAGTTTTGGTGTTCAATAAATGTTAGCTCTCATTCTTAGTGTCATGACTGGAGCAGAGCTGTATGTGGTAATAGTAATGTCCTCATTGCGAGTCAGCTCTCACTCACCCTCTTTGATGATTACTGCCTTCTACTACAGTTTTGAGAGCCACAAAGGAACTCTCTTATCCCTGGTGGCCACTAAAGGCACCAGCTCTTCTGAAGGATGAATCTATTAAAGGAAAGTTTCCTTTTTGATTTTCACACTCCTATTTATGCTCCTGAGGTCAGGGCTGGGAGAGCAGAGTCCAGGGATTCAGCCGATTCCCTCTAGCTTTCACGGCACTGCTATGGCATCTCATGTGCGGCACTCAGCACTTTTACACTGGTATTTAAAAGTCAGTTTCAGCACCTATCACTGTTGTGCAGAGCAGCTCCTTGACCCAGTAGATTCTTCCATGTATGGAGGAGTTTTAAAAAAAAATAATCAGGAGTGCACAGTATGGATTGGCAATCTCCAACCAAATGGCCTCAGCCTCTTCCAGAAGTAAGTACCCTGTGACTAGAGATCAGAACAAACAGCTATTTATTGGCTTCATTATATAATGACATTTACGGTGATGAGACAACTGGTCACATAGATTCTCAGTAACAGAAGAGAAAGATTTCCACAGAATAACAATGCAGATAACAATTCACTTTATTTCAAACTGAATTGAGATCGAGTTACTGACTTTTATGAGAGACTCTGCTCCTTCAAACAAATAAGCAGCAAAATAAAGAGAAGCTGTCTCCACCATAACGAAAACAGAGCACCCTGTCCAATGCACAGAAAGGGCCTCCATCCCAAAACTATTATGAGCAAAGTAAGGCAAGTAATTTTCAGATTATGCAATCCTGATTTTTACATTATTTAATATGATTTTTTATATCATGCTGAACAGATGAAAATGCTTAACCTTCGTGAAACTTAAAGTTTCTGACCTTCACCAAACCTGAGCTAGATAACTACACACTTGGGTCTTTCCTATCTTAATGATTCTATTTTTATGCCATGCAAAAGTATACCTAGACGAACAATCCAGTAAGTAAAGAAGTATCTCTATTTAAATTCATGTTTCCCGTGCTCGGATTTGTTGAGCGTTGCCAAAAGTGACTGATTTTACATTTCCCAGACTATTGGAGACTAAAGCTTCCCAAAGGGATGCCTGAGAAATGTGTTGTCGTAAAAGACGAGTGCTTTGTCATTGCCCGAGATATTCCAAATCAGGGATTAGAATCTCAGCATCCTTTCCCGTCCTCTCCCCAAGCCAAGGGAAAACACTAGTATCTTTTGTCCAGCATAGGCCTGAGAAATTGCACCATTGTCTTGCCACTTTTGGGGAGATCTAGGAAAGCAAGTTTAGAAAGTTAACATTTCATTTGTTAGCCAGACCCAGCAAGGCAGCTTTTATGAGACTATGGTTCCTCGATTGAACTGTTCTTCAGCATCACTTATTAAAATCTGATCAACAGTCCGTGAAAGGGAGGAGTGGAGCCCAAGAGAGGGCACCCCAGGTGCTTCTCCAGGTGGTTCTCAAAGTTTCTGGCCCACAATTCTAAAAAGAAGCCATTGACTCCAATTGCTTTAGTAAGCACCAAGGTAGTTCAGTTTCTTTAACAATATCATTACATGGACCAGCATCATCAGAAAGTATTTTCATGGACTCAAAACTCTCCAAGCCCAGTACCTCAGCTTGAGAGGCCTGACAATTATTCCCTGGAGTCACACTATTCTGAATAACTTCTGAACTATCAAGAAGGAAATTAGGAAGATGAGTTACCTAATAACTCCTTTTAAACTAGTTTTTAAATAGGCCAGAAAAAATGTAAATATGACCACAAAAATCTTCAAAGCCAAAATGATAAAAGCAATCACTCGATTACAATCTATGATTATTTTTTAAAAGGAAATATATTTTTGTCAGTGAGACTAATAATCTTTCTTCAGCCAGCCTTGGACTTTTTGGATCTGCCCAGGCCATCCTGTTGGTGGTTCACTCCAGTATCACACCTGCCCAGTGGCCCAAAGCTAAAGATTTCTCCCACTATTCTCTTGGATTCTCACTTGCTCTCACATCATTCTCTAGCATAGCGAGATTTTAGCTTCTAATATGAGCTCAGAGAGATAGCAGTAATTCTGTTGCAGGCAGAGTATGCAGTTAGGGGTGCTAGGAAAGCTGTAGAGACCATAAAAGAGTTGCCTCAGCCGACATACTTTGTTTTTTCCTCTCGAATTTGGTGTTTTTCTTTTCCCCAAAGGAGCTCCTCATTTATTCACCTCATTTGTGTTAAAATAAGTGAATACAAACAGATTTCAGGATTTGTAAATATGGACATGAGACCTTAAAAATCTTTTCAGCCAGTCTGTTTTGTAGCTGTTTTCCCATCTAGGCTTTGAAAAGCTGTAAAAAACAAGTTGGGAGAATTTCAATGGCTGCGAGTGAAAAGGCCTGGCAAGTTTTTATAGGCCCAATTAAGTGAACAAGATATGCTAGCTGCGAAATGTTAATATTTGCCAAAATAAAACGTAATACCTGTTATCTGCTGGTATTTTATTTTATGTAAAACTAAAGACTGTCACAGTCCTCTGGCAATAAGCTGGGGTGGTTTTTTTTTATGTTTTATTTTGTTTTGTTTTGTTTTCTTAGCAGGTAAAGATTATCTGCTTATTTAATAGCAACATGAATATGTTATAAGTAATTTCAGAAATGAGATGACTCAAGAGTTTTCTAAATATATTAGTACCTTTATTATTGTCTTTTTTCAAGAGCTTCATGGAATATATCATAGCCCCTTCCACCTACCTATTTCTGTTGTTTTTTAACTCTTTGGCTAAATTAGAATGTTTATCTATAGAGGGAGTTTATAGACACATGGATGAGAAGGAGGTATGCTAGTTTCTGATGTCATAAAAGACATGGTGATTTATCTTTCTGGCAAAGGGGATTGGTTCTGGAAGGTGATGGTTGAGTGAGTGAATGAAAACATTCTGAAAGATTTGTTCACCCTATCGCAAAGTTGGTCTAGGAACCAACTTGAGGGAACATTCTTGGCAGCTGTCTGGATGATGAAAGACACATCCGGTGAATTCTGCAGTCAGAAGAAAGAGAGAACAAGATGCTGAGATCATGCTAACCATCTTGAGAAAGAGATTTAGGATGGAATGTGCAATAGCCACACAAGTATAAAAAGCATCAGAAGGTTATTTTCTAAACATGAGAAATAAGAAAAATGAGCTTCTGCTGTCAGTGGGCCAATACAAGCATAGAGACTGGTCTGTCTTTTTCCTTCTCTGCCCCTTAAAGGCATCTGATAAAAACTGAGGACATTAATAAACAATTTTAGACGAATCAATGGTTCTTAAATTGCAAAGAACAGAAACCTCATTCAAACTGGCCTAAGCAAAAAGGGAAATTGTGTTGGCTTATATGACTTTAAAGTCCATAGGCATGTCTGACTTCAGACAAAGCTAGATCCAGCTTCTCTGTACAGGCCATCAGGAGTCTTTCTCCCTCTCTCAGCTTTGTTATTCTCTCTGTAGGCAACTTCTCAGGGGGCTTTCCCACGTGGTGACATGTTTATAGGCAATCCCCAATATAGAAATAAATTGTGTTTCAGAAACTTACTTAGAAATTGGCAATGTGGGACTGGCAATGGCTTCCCCTAAGAGAAAAAAGAAAAAATGGTTGCTGGTAGGGTCCCAGACCACTAAAAAGCCCACTAAAATCCCATAACTTCATGCTAGTCACAGAACAGTCACCTAGGAGCAGGAGCAGGGAGCCATCTGAGCCACGGGTGGAGAAGGAAACTCCCTTCTTACCTCTTTCCTGGACACACTTAAAAAAAAAAAAAAATTTTACTGTGGTAACATTGGTTAATGAAATCCAGTAAATTTCAAGTATACAATTTAGCAGTAAGGCATATGTATATTACGTTATGTGTTGACCACCCATAGTTAAATTTCTTTCTGTCACCACATATTTGACTCCTTTACCCCGTCTACCTCCCTCCTCCCCCAACTCCCTACCCTCTGGTAACCAGTAGTCCATTGTCCATGACCATGAGTCTTTGTTCGTCCTGTTCATTTGTTGCTTTTAGGTTTATATTCCATATATAAATGATATCATATGATTTTCAACTTTTTCTGTCTGGCTTATTTTGCTTAGCATGATTATCTTGAGGTCCATCCATGTTGTCGCAAAT